ACAACGTTGTTTATACCTTCGATTTCATGGTGGAAATTGTGTGAATGAGAGAGAGAGAGAGAGAGAGAGAGAGAGAGAGAGAGAGAGAGAGAGAGAGAGAGAGAGAGAGAGAGAGAGAGAGAGAGAGAGAGAGAGAGAGAGAGAGAGAGGAGAGAGAGAGAGAAGAGAGAGAGAGAGAGTGAGTGAGTGAGTGAGTGAGAATAAACCAATTATATTACTTTGATACTTCATTTGAAGAAAAATATATATGTTCTGAAGAAAAAAAAACATCTTCGAAGGGAGACAAAATATTTTAAAACAACGAATGCAAGCACACTGACACGGAATGTGAAAATGAAACGGAAAAAATGAGATAGAAGGGGAAAAGGAGAGAAAGAAAATATGAGGGATAACACTGAGAGAGAAAGTGTAAACCAAAAACGGGAGGCAACGAAAAAGAAGAACGAAATATAGAATAGAGAGAGAGAGAGAGAGAGAGAGAGAGAGAGAGAGAGAGAGAGAGAGAGAGAGAGAGAGAGAGAGAGAGAGAGAGAGAGAGAGAGAGAGAGAGAGAGAGAGAGAGAGAGAGAGAGAGAGAGAGAGAAGAGAGAGAGAGGAGAGAGAGAGAGAGAGAGAGAGAGAGAGAGAGAGAGAGAGAGAGAGAGAGAAGAGAGAGAGAGAGAGAGAGAGAGAGAGAGAGAGAGAGAGAGGAGAGAGACGAGAGGGAGAGAGAGAGAGAGAGAGAGAGAGAGAGAGAGAGAGAGAGAGAGAGAGAGAGAGAGAGAGAGAGAGAGAGAGAGAGAGAGAGAGAGAGAGAAGGGAGAGAGAGAGAGAGAGAGAGAGAGAGAGAGAGAGAGAGAGAGAGAGAGAGAGAGAGAGAGAGAGAGAGAGAGAGAGAGAGAAGAGAGAGAGGGAGAGGGAGGGGAGAGGGATAGAGGGAGAGGGAGAGGGAGAGGGAGAGGGAGAGGGAGAGGGAGAGAGAGAGAGAAGAGAGAGAGAGAGAGAGAGGAGAGAGAGAGAGAGAGAGAGAGAGAGAGAGAGAGAGAGAGAGAGAGAGAGAGAGAGAGAAGAGGGAGAGGAGAGAGAGGAAGAGAGAGGGAGAGGGAGAAGGGAGAGGTGAGAGAGAGAGAGAGAGAGAGAGAGAGAGAGAGAGAGAGAGAGAGAGAGAGAGAGAGAGAGAGAGAGAGAAAGAAAGAATTTTTAGAATGAACATCGCCCACTCATTTGCACACATTTCCCTTCAGCAACAAGAATTCACATCATCTCTATTATGGCCCAACAGTAGACATCCATATCCACATTTTTGCGTTATTCATTTCCACATATTTTCCCTCATGCATTTCCACATATTTTCCTCATGCATTTCCACATATTTGTGTCTTGTATTTTAACATATTTCCTGTATGCATTTCCACACATTTGCCTTATGCATTTCCACATATTTTCCTCATGCATTTCCACATATTTGTGTTGTGAAAGAGAATTCACATCGTCTCCAGCATGGCCGACAAGAGCTTGCTGCCCACATAACCGCTGGCATGAGTCCAGTTACGTCACAGACCCACCCCCTTCCACATGGCATGAGGTCTGCTATTTGTGCCTCGTCTTTCTGCTCACGTCTCAGTCTTCCTACCTTTTTTTAATGTTTCGTAATCTTTGCGTTCCCTTCGTGTCTCTCCTTTTCTTAATCTCTGTGTCTTTTATCTAATTATCTCTATATCTTTATTTCTAATCTCTTTCAAGCTGTCTGTTTATTTATATCTCTATCTGTCTGTCTCTCTTTCTCTCTCCTTCTCCTCTTCCCCTCCTCCCTTTCTCNACACACATACATACATGTATATTATATGTATACATAACTATATATATCTATATCTATATGATATATATATATATATATATATATATATATATATATATATATATATATATATATAATATATATATAATATATATATATATATATGAAACCAGGAGAATGCATATATAAGAATGATGGGATTGAATATAATTATGTTGATATCAAAAGTTAATTAGGCCATTTTGCACTGAAAAATATCAATCATTACCAATACCTTTCTAGAATGGTATGCCTATGCTGATTCAGACTAATATTACAGCACACAGCTTTAATTAATTGTTTTATGTGTATGAGAATCAGCCAGACTGCTCTGATGAATATTTCCAAACTTGGAGAAATCACCAGTGGCAGTTCTTGTTAGTATACTGATTCATTTCTAATAAAGGGAACTTAATCAAGTGCTGATTTGTTGAAAACAACAATACTATATCATCACTTTATCAAAGTAATACCCTAGTGGATGACACTAGGGCATTGCCAGAGGAAAGAAGTCATTAGAGAACTTGTTCCGGCATCCCAACTGAAACATTTGTCATCATAATAAGGAGAAATGGCTCCGTTTCTGAGAACTGAAGGATATTGCTGTTAAGGACTCCTGTCTATTACTTTTTCTTGATGAGACATTATAGATTAATATGGCTGAAGAAAACAAGTTTGAATTGAATAGGATTTTACAATATGAGGAATAATTATGAGAGTTCAATTATGCTGCTTACATAGAATAATACACCTACACATGTTCTATGGAGAGGATCATGGAATACTTACATAAAAAAAAAAAAAAAATCTGACCACAATTTCCTGACTCCACTCTTAAAAGAGAATACCAAAGCTGGCAATTAAAAAAAAAATAGTTGCTCTGAAGGACTGATTTGTTACAAGCAATAGCAGTAAGCTGTAAAATATTCAAGTCCATTAAGATTATTAATAGAGATGTAAATCAAGGTTGGAGATCCAAACTCTGCATGCTTTGGTAATGTAGGAGAAATACTTTAGATGTGCCCTCTACCTTCAATAGAAAAAGAGTAAATTTTGTCCAGCTAAAGTGTAATAGTAGCCTGTTTGAATGAACACCCTAAAGATGACTCACAGGATATGTGCTGATTTCCTTTTTCTTTTCTTATTCTTCATGATTTTAGATATATAGCTAAGATCAGGCAAATTCAAATCAAGGTGTCCCATGCCCAAGTGCACATAGGGAACATGCCTTGGAAAAAAAAGTGTTCTAAATGCACTTGATATCAGGTCAACTTGACTTCAGATAAGATAAGGTTGGCAGAGACTGAATGGGACATACCCTTGACCTATGAGTTGGTTACCAACCTCCTGTGCACTATGAATAGCTGGGGTCCTAATCACTTACAGCACCAGACATGCTCAAACTCTCAATTGCTAGATTAGCATTCAGGCAATTTTAGCCCTGAAAAATTATTAATTTGCTCAGAAATCTAATCCTGTTAGTCTCTGCTTATCAAGAATGAAAAAAAATATAGATATATCAACCATCACAACACTGAAACTCGAAAGTCCTGTTGGGTTGTTTACAAATTATGATTATTTGCAAATAACATTTGGAACTTTTTATCTTCAATTGTTCATCATTTATATTATGACATTTTCTTGTACCAAATGCCTTTCAGTGATAAAATTACATTATAATAAAAACACAGCTATGGAGGTTTCATGCACAGAATAATTCTATGTTTCACAATTCTTCACCTAGAAAAAAAGGCTGTTTGATATAATCATTCTATCAACTATATAACAAATGTGTAAAAAAGATTAATGACTCAGTTTCACATTAGGAAACAATAAAGAGAATAAACTCATTTGTAAATTCACTGACTCATTCACTCTATCTCTTTTTTTCTTACTTAGGCAAATGTATTTGATAGGTTCTGATTACTGTCGACAGGTGATGATAATTGAGAGATTGCTGATGATAATTATTTCAAATACAGCAATTTTGGCATCTTTTATTCTGTCAACTATCAGCAACCTCTTAAATGCATCTCTGCCCCAATAGGGAAAAGAGGGAATAAATAAATAAATAAATAGAAAAAGTATTTACGGTGAATCACAAGATGCCTAGACACAACTTGTCTCAACATATCTCATTGAGCATAACTATGCAGTGTTTCTAAAGTCACAAATTACTCACAGTACCTTTCTTACAGGAATATATCATGGTGAGCATTTATACCAGCACAATATCTATTTATCTTTCCTTTCATAAAAAGATAATTACTTAAAACTGATGAAAAAATAATCATAGTTTCACACACACAGTCCTGAGCACATGAAAAAAAGTATCATAAAAACGCAAAAGTACTCTATTGTTAGTAACCAGTTTCATGCAGTGTTGGTCTCTCTATCTCACTAATTCTATCACTTCAGATAAAAAAAGTTATCACTGTTGACACCATCGCTCTCTAAGGTTTATCAATTCATCTTAACAAGTTTTTCCCTTATCATGGGGTTCATACCTCTATCATAGAGATAACAAAACTCAATGTTACTTTAGTTATCTCCTCTTCTGCATTATTTGTAGATTCAGTACTAATGACACATAGAGCTCTCTCTTTGTTCATAGAGTGCTTTAATTATTTTCTATTTTTGTATTTACCATTAGTAATAATGCTTTTCCTAATCTAGTGGCTTGAATTGAAAGGTTATTTGGGCTGATAAAAATGTTTAATTTCAGAAATAGACTCAAACCATCTACCAAGATGCATTTATTAATTCAACGTGTTTTTTCTCACAGGAAGGGATAATACAGCTTGCTTAAATATTTTTTTTACTATAATACAAAACCACTACTGGCATCAATCAATATGTTTGGATTCACAGTAATCAAAGTCTTTAGTTTTGTCTTCTTACTAAATCCATACACTCTATAGCTTTCAGTGTTTCACAATTCAACTGTAATCAAAATAATCACCTAACATTAGCAATTACAAGTACAAAGTTCACGTATATTTCTTGCTGGAAACCTTTTACTTTAGATTCCAGAGAACATGATTACCAGCCAGGATTCTTCAATAGAAAGTGGAGCCTTTGTTGGACATAATATCACACACTTCCTTTGAGTAGAGAAACACCTCATCATTACCACAACCGGAGCATATTTAATTTGTTCTTCCTATGGTTAATGGTTAATGGT